CAAAAAGAAATTGTGGTTTTTGTAAAATTATATTTTGTAATAAATTATTAAAGCTATTACAAATAGGTTGCTAAGGAATAGTAGAAGTATGGGTTGCATGTCCAGGGTAAAAGTTTTGAAGAAAAGATTTAATAAAATTTAAAACATTAATTCCAAGAGAAGTTGAAAATTGTATTAAATTTTGGGTTTCTGGATTGATTGGAAATGTTTGAAACCAATCAAGCATATCACTAAAAAGCTTATAGTAAGAAAAGTTTTGTTGAATTATAGTTAGTTTAGAGTATAAATACTAAAAGTAAAAAGAAAAAATGAAGAACTTAATAAAAGAATATAGATATTTTGAAAAATAAATCTTGGCGGCTTTTTGATCACATGATCAGAATCAAATGATTTTGGATTCATTAGAAGTGTCTTGAAAAGGCCATAATTTTGGTAGTTAAATCATCTAAATTGGTTAGATAAATCAAAAGTTATTGAATTTTAAAGATTTAGTATATAAAATAGTATATAAATATAGAAAAATATATATAAAAATATAAGTTATAAACATTCAATTTTTTGTAATTTTAGGGTGTAGATTGTATGAAAATCATATACAAAAAATTTGGAGTATTAGGGTAGTAAGGTTAGCTAAAAAAAGGATTATTATATAAATAATAAGCTTTTGTGTAATGATTAACAAATTTGTATAAAATTGATTGTTAGAATGAAAAATATAAAAGGAAAGTTAATTTGGATAAATTTGGAAGTGATTGGATGTTATACAAAAATCGTGTATAGTGGAAAGTACAAAAAAAAGACAAAAAAATTTGTAAAAAAAGAGTAAAAGAGAGTTAAAATAGTTTAAAGCGTAACTTTGACAATTTTGATGCTACAGAAATGAAATATAGCTTGTTATGACGAGATTAGTGTGTAGAGCAACTTTTACTAAGCGTATTGCGTAGGTTTAGAATCAGGTTAAAGAGCAAATGGCAAAAGTTTAAATTTTTTGTCTAGAAATGTTTTAGGGCTTTTCTTCACGAATATAAGAGCTAGAGACTTAAAATTTGAGTATTATGTGTATTTTAGTGAACCAGACAACTTTTGTTATTGCATATAATTAAGTTAGTATAGTAAAATTTTGTGTAAATGGATATTTTTGTTGGATGAATTTAAGTAAATTTTGTGTTAGGGATTTGCAGGAAGAGTTGTTCTCGATTTTCTAAATTTTAATATAATTATATAGTAATTAGAATTACTAAATATAATAAAATATAAACTTAATTTTTCTATTAATAAACTAGGAATTTTTTAAATAAAGTTATTTAGTATGACAAATTGTACATATTTTAAAAATTTTATAATTTTTTAAAAAATATTTAGTAAATTTTTATATATAGTAATAAAATTACTATATTTGGCAATTTGTTAATTTTATTTTAATAATTTAACTTTAACTTTAAATAATAATATTTCATTTAAAATTTTATAAAAATTTCTAAAAATTTAAAATTATATATAATTTGTTATACTAAACAAATTTTACATAATAATAAAGTATAATTTATTTAATAAAAAATTAACTTTTAATATATAGCAGTTACACAAACTAATTTTTAAAATTACTATTTTCGGTTTTATGAAATATTACACAAAATTTTATAATCTAATTATCTCAAAAAGTACAATATAGAATTTTGTAAACTTTTTTTTATTTAAAAGATATAGATTTAATAAATTTATAATTTAATTTTCAGCTTAATATTTTACATATTTAACAATGTATAAATTTTTGAAAAGTGTTCACAATAATATAATAGGCTACTGTACTAATAGTTTACTAGTTATATAGCTATAAACAAATATAATTAGCTAAATTTATTTCTTATCTTTATAATATATTATACAAAATCTTATTTGAGCCAATTAAATCAATTTATTTACAAGTCAAATCTAATATTTTATAAGTATTTAATTTTTTTAATATCAGTTATCAGGTTTAACAGGTTATCAATTTTGACTTAAGGAACAAACATGGTAATTCAATTTTGTATTAATTATTATAGGTTATTAGTTTTGACAGAATCAGTTTTGGGAGGTTCAACTGTATACACTTACCAACTTATTAGTTAATACTTATGAGAAAAAATCAGATTTAAAGTATAGTTATAAAAATTCTTTAAATTAAAAAAATTTTCTCAAACTACTCTAAGCCATATCTGAATATGAAAAAATAAATTAGTATACTCTCTAATCTTAACTATTAAAAGAAGTTACTTTTAATGCTAATTTTATCTCTTAAATTGTTTTGCAGCCAAATTTGCTTGCAAATTTTTTTAAATTAAAATTTTTTTAATAAAATTTTAAATATTTATTATAGCTATATGTTTTTTAAGTAAAATATTTAATTTAAGATTTGTTATATTAGCTTTGTTAAGAAAAATTTTTAAAATTATTAAAAAACTTTAGTACAATAAAAGTTTAAAGCTTTTATATTGAAATTTTTACTATACAATTCTTTCTTTAGATTTTTATATGTTTTTTGCCTATAAAAAACTTATACTCTTAAAACAAGTCTTAATTTTTATTATTAAATCACTAAAGTATAGTAATAAAAGTTGTTATCCTTTATATAAACTACAATATTGTATTAGAAACTATATTTTTTAAAATCAACATTTAAAGAGTTTGTTAAGAAATTATAAATTAATTTTTTTTTTTTATTAAGAGAGGTCTTTCCTCGTATCCTTTATTATAATTTCTTTAAATAATATATGTTTAACAACAATATGATTTAATTCTATTATTTACAGATAGAAGATAAAGCTAATTTACTTCAGACCTAGTCTTAGCTAAACTGGTTCAAAACCTTTAGACTATGTTACTAATATTGATTGGTTTAATATTACCCATGATATATTGATAAATCTACCTGAAATTTGCTATATGTTCTTGATTTATATTGTTCACATTATTACTGATTGTATTTAACTGCTCTTGTAAACTGACTTGTTGTTGTATTACTATCTGACTTGGCTTCTATATTTCTTGCTAAATCTGTTTGATTATTTCATAATAGAGATTGGCTATTGCTTCTTTATGTTTTGACAATAACAATGTTTCCTTAGTTATAAAACCTAAAGGTAAAGCTTTGTCTACATGATTATATATAATTTTGTTAATTAATGTGTTAGTATTCATTAGATTGATGAAATATTTATTAAAGATTTGTGTTAGTTGGTTAGTTATTATAGTCCTTAATGATTTCGTATTCATATTGCAATTGATCTAGTGTGCATTGTCTTTTGATAGTACCCACACCGTAGACATGCCAGGGAAGTATTAATAGATGGGTTACGTTGGTGTAATATTATTCTGTTTGGTAATTCGTTGGTGATCAATTTAATCTTGAAGTTTTTTGTATTCGATATTGCTGTGTTTGTATATTTTTGGTTAGATTTGTCTTTCTAATTGAGTAATAAGAATGTGGTTTGCCAGTTTATTTAGTTATTGTGTATTATCTACCAATTGATTCTCTTTTGTTGTATCCATTTATTTATATTAACAGCCTTAAAAATAACTTTTAGTAATACTTTTAATGGGATGTGAACCAGGTAATTATAAATTATTAGTATAAAGAATTTGTATATATGTTATGTGTCATTTCGCAATTCATGTTACTTTCAAAATAACATATATTAATTTAAGATTGCAATTTAATATATGTCGAATAATAATCGGTATCGAAAATATATATATTTGAAAAATATTTAAAATTAAAAAAAGTATAATAAAAATTAATTAAAAAAAATTAATTACACATTAATATGTTTCATGAAAATATCCTTTTTCAATTAATACAGCTTTTTCTAATAGTCGAAAATATATATAGTATGTATTATGCATTAAACACTACGTATTACAATTAATGATTGCTGCATTCGCCTCTTAATACACAACCACAGCGTCTAGTGCAAAGTGTGTTGTTTTTGCGACATGAGCAGCTTTTAGTTTTACAATTTGTTTTACTGCAATAACAATTGTCATTTTTTTTAGACCTTTTTAGATTATCTTGAGTATCTTGTATACTTCATATAGGGTATGTCAAATTTTGCTGTGCAGATGCATTTCTTAGAGAGATAAAATTGCCTAGTGGAATAACATCAAGTGCTGGATATTCATCTGTGCCTAGTAATTCTAATTCATTTGCTAGATACCATAAATCTAAGATTCCAAATTCATATTCAACTTGATAGAGATCATAATTAGGTTTTTTTTGAATAACTTTGCAGAGCACTGAACGTCTATCTATTTTTAACTTGTCAATATCTGGAACCCGAATTTTTACAAAATCACCTAGATTAAAAATTTTTTTTTTTTTTTGATGTTAAAAGGTGAGGCCTTGCTCATATCTTTATTGAGTAATTTATATAAATAATCATAAAAAAACAAGACTGAATGAAGACTTAATTCATATATAAATGAATAAATATAAATTACATGCAAGAATAAAAGCTCAGACTAATTTATCTGTAACCTAAACCTACTAGAGTGGTCAAAGCTCATCTAGATTTGAATAGTTAATATATAATTAGTAGGAATACTGAACTGGATCCACAAAGTAGACCAGATATTGAATTTAAGTTTAGCAAGCCCAGCTGGGGGGCAAGAGAAGGAATCAAAATGTAGTTGATCAGGTAAGTTGCATAGATAGATTAAAAATTATACTATATTTAGTTTTATAATATTTCATATTTTTAATAATTATATATATATAATTACCTGAATTTAAAGTTAAGGTACATTTAGTATTATACTGCTTTTCCATTACGCTATGAATTATTTGCAGATTTTTTTTAACTTGTTGTACTGCTAAATTACGTAATTGCTTGTGGTTACTAACATTTGCACGAGATTGACTATCAACTGACATAAGACTTTCATGGTTCATATCTTCAATTAATGTATAAGAACCACTTGCTTGATTAGAACTTTCTTAAGATAAATTTTCAATAAAACTATTAGCAAGAAACAAATTCCTGTAAAAAAATTAGTTAAATTATTTTTTAATATATTATAATAAATAATTAAAAGCATATTTACTTCATTATTATGCCATTTTTCTTTTTTGTTCCAAGAATTTTGTAATGCAATAACTTCTTCACTAATTATACTATTATTATGTGATATAGCCATTTCATTTTCATTGCTATTAGATTCAAGGTCAGTATCACTATCCTCAATTGTAATTATTTCATCTATTAAATATACATAGTATATAAAAATAAATAAGTTATTAAAAAATAAATAAAAAATTTATTACATATTACTATTATTATATACAATCTTTATTGCATAATATTAATTGATTTTCTAATGGAATATCTTCTTCACGAATAATATTTTGCTAATAAAGCATTGAAATCATCTGTAAATCTGCTTGAGGTTGTTGTCTGAATACAAGTTCGTATGGTGTTAATTTTGTTGCATTGCATATTTGGTTATTCATTGCCCCTGCAATAATAATTTTTTAAATTAAAAATTTATGATAATAATATAAATTAATTTAAAGTTTATTATATATAATTACAAAATATAAATGGCAATCCAACACTCTAATTATTTTATTTGGTTTCTTCCATCCATGATCCAAGTTTTGTTTGAAGAATATCATTACTAGGGTTGTAAACTTAAAATAAGTTTTAATTTTTTAATATAAGGTAAGTTATGGTCATGTAACTTACATGTAAGTATGTAAGTTAAAATAATATATATAATTATTATATAAATATATATAACAAAAATATCCAAAATGTAATATATAATTATATTTGACTTTTACTAAAACGCATTTTGGTGTTTTACACCTATATATATATGTTGTACGTTGCTCTTAAATAACTGTTAATTCAAAATTAACGTACCTGAGTTTAAAATTTATACCGATTAAAATGTAACATACGTAGTTTTAAAAATTATACTGATTAATATGTAATATACGTACATACGTCAATTAAACTCAAAATTTAAGATAAAAGTTTAATAAATTAGATTGATTATATAAAAAAAAATTCTTTGTTATTTTATCTTCCATAATATAGTTTCAAATTCTTTGCTAGTTTTTTTGTTTCTTTCATTTCAAAGCTTTCAAAAAATCGTTAATGATTATATGAACAATAAAAAAACGAAAGACATATAATGAATCATTTAAAGTATACTCATTGCCTGGCTATTTTACGAAATGCATCCAAATTTGAATTTAAAATGTTGGGTTCTTAATGTCTTTAAATTAATTAAAGTTGAGTATCAATAGACTGAATGTTAAATCTGATAAACATAATTGTGACAAATCGACATGTTATTTAGAACCGTCAAATGATTTATAATCTTAATGAAAAAACGATATAAACTAAAAACATGTTAAATTTGAAACCTGGTGATCTCGTAAAGATTCAGATTCCTGATATTGATAGGCTAAAAATGGATAGACAAGCATTGCGACAAATATCAAGTTGGAAACAAGTTTGGAATTTTGGATACATGGTTTTTAGCAAACAAATTAGAACCTTTAGATACTGATGAATTTCCTAAACTTGATATAATTTCAATAGGTAAATTTATTTCTTTACGAAATGCTGGTGCTCAACAAAACTTAACCCAACCACTAAATATTACAAATGAAACATCCAACCAAAAAACTGAACAAGAGTTTAAAAAAATGATGGCTGTTATTGTAATAAAACAAAATTTTAAAGTAGGAGTTGTTTTGTCGTAAGAACAATGAATACTTTTTGTACTTTTCGTTGTGGTTGTATTCGCTGTACATGCAAAAATCATATAACATTTAGCAGTTGTTTAATCTTCAACATGTGGATTTTAAAAATCATAATGGAAGTTAAATACAATAATTAATAAAAATAAATTTGATTTATGTTGTGAAATTTTGTTTTTTTTTTTAGTCGATAAAATCATACCAATACTGATTAAAATATGAAGTACTTTAATTTACAATTTCAAAGCTACGTACATCAATATTTAATTGACGAAAATTTGAAAGTGACATCTAACATATATACAGTATTTTTACAAAAACTGGCTAATTAATCGGTACAAAGTATTCTAATCAACACCCCTAAAAACCCTTCCCAAACCCTAGCTCTAACTCTAAATACTAATGCTAACAGTTAGCATTATAACTTACAAATTACTATACATCATAAATTTTTGATGTAACTTACATGTAACTTACATATAAGGTAAGTATGTAAGTTACAACCCTTACAACTCTAATCATTACCCTTCTCAACAAAACCTTGACATTGAGGATATTGAGGCCTTCTATGAACAATTTTGACTAATGGCCAAAGTTTTATAGTTCTAGTTACTACATTACCAACAAATTCACAACTATTATCTAAATGTAGAATTAATAGTAGCCCAAATATTAAACTGAATTTTAAAAAAAAACCAGCTGCTTCTTCTGCAGATTTTGATATTGCAGGTTCTGCAACTGAGTATCTAGTAAAGT